AAAATATTTTATAGGTACACGGTTACAAAATAGAAGTAATAGGAATATTTACACTGATAATAAATTTACGTTAGATTATTCTGATGATTAATTGCCATGATTTAAAACCTTAAGCCTGGTTTTTAAATGAATAAGCTATTATAAATTACTAGTATTCATTGGAAAAGCTATAAATCAACGTTGTTGAAGGTTTTGTAGGTCTAGAGGTTAGTGACCCTGACTGCCAAGCCAGAAGTCGTGGATTCGATTCCCACCCAGGACAAATAATCACATGATGAGCACGATCATTTGTTCTGTCTTCAAAATCATCAACAGCCTTTAAGGATCTACTGCTGAACATGGGCCTCTACTTAGAAAGGAGGAGTCGGCCTAGTATACCACCCAAGCCAGACGGGTTGGTAAGGGGTTCGTTTCAAGTTTTCCCTACTCTTTGCAGTGGTGTTGTTCTGCAGAGTTTGCTCCCTTAGTCGGCCCTTACGACATCCAAGGGATGAATTGGGGTGGTGAGACTTCGTATTCTTAATCCTTCACCACACGTTTATGTATTTGTTCTATGTCCGGGTGTTATCTGTAATATGTATGTATGTATTTAGAAATATTTAAGTAGGTTTATCAACAGTCTAGTTACCAGTCTAGGTAACAGTCTAGTTAGTGGTGTCTAGTTAAGGATCAGAAGGCTGCTGAGAGCATTCAATGCTCTAAGGGCGGCTGTATGTTAGATGTATGAGGTTAATTATATTATTATTAGAATAATGACTGCACGGTTGGCGTAGTGGTTTAAGCGGTTTGCTACTACGTTGAGTGTTGTGTGTTCGATCCCCACACGGGACGACACTTTGTGTGATCTACAAATTGTTGTTCTGAGTCTGGGCGTTCTTTGTGTCCGTTTCATGTATGTTTGTAAAGTCCCCCGCGATCCAGGAAGTATTCCTAATGCGGGAGTTGTCTTTTTAGAGACGAAAAAAAAATTACATCATCTTAAGTGACACCTTTCTAAGGAGAGGCCTATGTCCAGCAGTGGTCTATTAAAGGCTGTTGATGAAGTGACACATACTATAAGAAAAGTTGCGGCTTACTTTCTCAAAAACAGGTATTGATAGCGCAGCCGTCTATTTAAAAACTTTTATTAAACTTGTAATATTTCTAAGTTTAATTTTTATTAATAACTTATTGTATTTATCAGTCACTAATGTTAAATTAAATACATAACAGTTAAACGGTTGTTTTTTTTTAACGGTGCACTAGAAAGTGATAGAACAAGAATGTATCTATTAATTTATCGTTAGCTTTGTATGTGCATGCGTTGTACCAATAATAAATATCGTTAACTGTAGACTTAGGTGGAGTCTAGGATTAGAGTAGTAACTTTTAATTATATTCTTATGTCAGGAAATGGAGTGCACTAACAAGTACACGTTCTATTATACCGTGGGTGATTACTGATCCCCTTAAAAACTCACAATAGAATTGGGCAATCATTCACGAGTTTTACAAGTTCCTAATCAGTGACATTAAGTGATAACCTATATTATAGTACATTTATATGGGGTAACAATGGCAACATACAAACTGCCGTCGAGGATGTTACAAGGTTGTAAAATTTGTACTATATGCGCTACAATGGAAAGTTGAAAGAATTTATTACATCAAGTCCTGGGATGAGGGCTTTAGATGGATATAATCATACAGAAAATTACAAATTTGTTTTTTTAACCACATTCGATTTCAGAGGAAAACTTTATAATTATAATTTATACGAAAAATTATTAATGTAATTGTTATCGCTTGTTTGTAAAATAAGTATCAATCGTTATTTCTAATTATTATTTAATTAATTGTATTATAAATTATATTATATTATAATTCCTCTCAAAGAATTTATGAACCTGCAAAACGAAGCTTGCAAAGTAGGTATAATGTGCAGCGCATTCTAACAAAGAAAAATATTCCCACATAATATTGTTATAAGAAAACAACTTAGAACATAATAGGTACCTAGGAGTAGTAACAGTTGGCAGCAAATGAAAGCTTTTTTAATTCCTAAACTACCGAATGGTTAAAATAGCTAGACTTTGATTTTCCGTACCACAAAAATTTAAATAGACTCAATACAGCCCTCAAATAACAATTTTTACAAATAAAAAATTGACAAGATGTATTGCTGTAGATGTGATTTGTCTCAAGCAATTTTTATATTTTGATAAATATGCTCCCCTCTATCATAAAAAAATAATAATTTAATATCACTTTCATCTGTTAACTACTCATGCGGTCATCTCAAAATTTTAACTACTGAAAAATTAATAGGATAAGTTTTATAAAAAATAATACCGCGAGGTAAAAAATAACTTTTAAATGACCAAAATTGCTAGCATTCAGCTAGTAATATTGTAATTACGACAGTGATTTCATTTGATTTTTTTTATCTTACGGTTTCACACCATAACCAATCAACTGAACATTATGAAAGGTTTGTGAGGGTATACAATACGACATAAGATAGGTATTCTTATTTAGAAAATATATCTAAAGCTTCCAAAGGGTAGTGACTTGTATGACAATCTAGATTAACGCGAGCGAAATAGACGAAAGCTAGTTAATAATAATTTAGTTTTAGATTTAAAATAATACAATTTGTTTTTCCTGTGAAAAGATACTGAGAGATTCTATAAGTGGTAGCAAGTTATGGTAAATTATTTAATCAACGGGTGCAATACATCAAACTACTATGTTTAACGTTATAAATAAATTCGTCGAATAAATGATTGGTATTCCAATGATTCATTTTGATGTAGATTGAAGTGTGGAAATAAGAGCACATGTTTGTATTAATTTCTTCAGAATTAAATTCATTTATAAAAATATTCGTAGGAAACAACTTTAATGCATTAGAAAAGTAAGAGCGATGATATTTTGTTAATAGTATCTAGATTTATAATTATTCTCAAGTAAGTGATTTACATTTATTTTTGTTTAGAAAAAAAACCTTTTAAACTAGAAAGAGGCTATGTGCATAATAACCACCACAGCATTAATAACGTAGGGGAAGGTGTTGTACCTATGAACGGTTTTACCTGTGGACATCATTGATATTTCAAAAAATAAACACAGAAATTTAACGAATTGAACGCATCCGAAAAGTATTTTTGATGTGTGGCAACGTTGACTTGCTGCCATTTTGTATCTTTTGTTGTGTGACCGGTGACAGACTGTTAAGGGTTTTCGCTCAAAAAAGTAAGTATTTGTCTCTTTTTCGTCCTATTTTTTTGTGAACATATGCAGAATATAGATGATTATTTTTAGTCATACTGTAGTACATGTAGTTAACAATCCATTTACATCGGTATAACGGTGTAAACTAGTACCTATCATGCCGGTAATAGATTTTTAGGTTGTATTGTCTGATTTGTACCTGTGGACATCGAAGTGTATGTACCTATGAACTGTCCACAGGTGCAAATTTTTTTTCATTTTTCAGTGTCTCGACGGAAAAACGCGCCGTAGGTTGTGTTCAGAGACGTTATCTGAGGCAATTAAAGAGGCAATTAGTGGATGTTCATTGCGAAAAGTTGCAGAAAAATATAAAATACCAAAATCTACGTTATTTAAATACCTTCACATGAATAAGGAGAATGATCTGAGCGAGAACAGGGTAGTTATTTTGAGAAATGACGTGAAGAAAGTATTTGATGAGGAAGAAGAAAAACAGCTTGCAGAATATTTAGATAAAAATAAAAATTCAATCTGCAGAAAAAAGGGTCACAATTCTTCAAGATGACCAGTTACCCTAAGCCATGTGTATGGGATGTAAAAGACATGAAAATGTTTACAAACTGCTCAATTGCTCTCAATGCGATTTGAAATATCACCAGAAATGTGTATCAAGATCACATTTAGATAATTTTGAATCAGATGATGAGTCAGACTTCTTATATCAAAAGTGTTATATTTTAGATGATGGTGATTCAGATGCCTCTGATGATTCTGCCTTAGAACTATATCAAAAATATTTAGATGCCAAAACCAAAAAGAATAATTGATTCTTTAATGTTAAAGTTGATTTATAAAGATATTCTATTTATTTTTGCTGATTTTTATAGGATTATTACGTAAGGATAAGTGATCTGTCCATAGGTACATTGCCGTCCATAGGTACAAGTATTTCTGTCCAGAGGTACAATCATAAGATGTACCTGTGGACAAATTTAGTGATTTAAAAAAAACTGGTTAATTTTAACCAACATAATTCGTACAAAACTAAAGACTGCTAATTTTTAAGTGTTAACTAATCCTGGAACAACATTTGTAATACTTTACGGCTAATAAATAAAAATTAAATTATTAAACCATATTTTCATTCAAAATCCGGCAAATGTCCACAGGTATAACACCTTCCCATACTTTATAAATTGTGCTAAATCTAAAGCAAGTTTAATATCTTTCTAACCGCATTTGTAACTTCCCGTAACACCTTTTTACCTGCCCCTCGGAAAAAGTAAACTTTCTAAGAAAGGGCGGGCGGGACAGTCATTGGGCGGAAATAGCCGCCCATAATATCCCACCCTCTTTATTTGACATTCACAATTCCTTAAGTTGTTAGGAAAAAGTTTCTAGTACTTTTCCAATGTCACCGACTTCTCCCCTAGTTAAGAAGTTTGACGGAATATTTGAATGTTATTATTGTGTAACTGCATCCGCAGACTCATTATCCCTTCAACTTCTTGCTTTTTGAAAAAGTTAACTTAGTAATTGAGTCACTTATTTGCGCTCAATTTGTTCAAGACTTTGGTGTTATTATTTTATCATTATAGGTTATTAATTTAACTAAACACATTTTTATTGTTGCATTTTGAAATATAAAACGAAATATTTGTAAAAGTGTACAAGTATCAACCGACCCACGGATGATACTTGTAACCGTGTAGGGACCCTTATCATTAATTAAATTATTGAATCTCCAAATATTCATTGTATCACATAACTGCACCTTCAGCACTCACCGCGACCGCTGCGGCCGACGAACCTCAAGTCGTTGAACTTAGCAACTTGATTCTTCATCACTGCTGAGCTATTTCTCAGCTCCGCGCAGCAGTTTTCATCGTTACCAGCCCGAACAGTGACCAGGGTGCCATCTCCTACGTCGCCTAGAGCTACCACTTTAAACGCCACAGGCAATGTCTTATTCGATCGCCAGTGTGGAGGCAGAACTGTACACACAAAGTGAGGACTACCCGTCCGCACTAGTTCTCCCGGGTGTTCTGATAGAAAGTCCCCCAGCGTTCGTTCGGCTAGTATATCAGAAGTCATTTTTGTGTAGGTCTCATGCAAGAGTGTGGAGCTCGTGTCCGGCGACACTGCGCCGCTCGAAGCGCTGGTTAGGTGCATTCTTGACACCCGTGCGCGCTGCGTGCTACACATAGAGTCTACTTGTCCAAAACGGTTGCTACATGTCACTGGCCACCACACGTCACTCACGTTCACTGTACCCATGCGTCATTGTCACTCACCACCGTCATAATGACACGCGGAGTTCACGCACTTCCGAAACTGTCACAAGTTTACGAAGGGCCGATATCAGGACGTGACAACTCGTTGCTAGGGAACGCGCGCGTGGCCACTTGACGCGGTGACGTCACGGTCGGCCTTGCCACACTTTTTTCCCCGGTGAATGAAAAGTTCGGTGGCGGGTGGACGAGGGACGCGAGGGGCCGATTTTTTCCGGCGTCGAGGGTGGTTCCCCCGAACAGCGGCGAAAAAACTTTTCACTAGTTTCACTCACAGTAGCACTTTTTTCGGACCGCGTATTTACGCGATCGCCGTACGCACGTCGCTTTCACTTTCAGTGCTAATCTTTTTGACTTTTTTGGAGTTTCAGTTTCGCTTTTCGTTTCGGCGCGTCGGGATCGTATGGCGCGTGTGTTTACACTGTGTGGGGTGCAACGAGCGGGATGCGTGCGACTGTACGCGCGGTCGTGGTACGACTCGTGGCGCGTGGGGCCGCCCTCACAGCGCTCGCTTGCGGTGACCGCTCGCGGTGGCTATTAATACGCGCGTACGTCCGCGCCCGTCGACTTCGGACAAAGTTTCGCGGGCGAGTCGGTGCGGCTCCGCGGCAGCGGTGGCGGCGAGCGAGAGGCGGCGACGGCGCGGGTGCGGCGGGCGGCGGAGCGCACTTTGCGGTCAGGGTGGGTTGGGTTTAAAGCCGCCGAAGGATAAAACATACAAATAAACACGTGTTCGCGCCGGCGCGAGCGAGAGGTGCGGCGAGCACGGCGGTGCAAGCAGGATGGCGTGCGGCTCTTGCGGCATTTAGCAGTCGAAACGCTTGCCGGCAGCCGGCACCCGGCACCGGTGGCGTCGTGGCGGTCTTATCAAATCGAAGATATAATCATTCATGAGAAAGTTGGTACTATAAAAAAATATAGTGATCAAAATTAAAACCTTCTGTGATATCATCATAATGCAAAAAGTAGTGACTTATAGTAAACGAAGTAAAAAGTCTCGGAGAAAACAATATTTCGTTTTTGATGTTAAAACAAAACATGTCAAATTTTAAAAGCACTTCCTTAAAGTTAATTGGTTATACATGTCGTATAGCTGGCTTCCTACATCATAATGGTGATTTAATCTAGTCAACCTCGGCGTAATGTGACGGGATCTAAGGGAGGATCGCATTAACGAAGCCTGTTAACGTACGTCGGACACGTCGTCTCATACTCGCCCACTAGATACGTTCCCCTTCGAACAGATAGCCTTTAGAAACAAATTACAAGATATACAGTAGGTATGTGGGGAAACGAGTTCTGCAAGAACTGTCTATAGTGCAGACGGAAAAGACAAAGATGTTTTTATAGCAGAATACAATGGACTGTTAAAAGTTTCTCATCGCACTGTTGTATTTCAGGCAATATGTGAAATTTAAAAAGTAATTTAGCTTTAAATATCAAATACTACCTACACATATTATTCTATTAATTGATTTATCTATTTATTATTTTACAAGAATATATCTTACCACATTTTTATGATTGTAATAACAAAAATGCTGTAACCCACAGTTGAGAAACAATACCATTTAACTCCAGTAAAAATTGAGAGGTGGCTCCATTTCGGGCAGAAATCTGGTGCACTAAGAATACTTTTTTCTAGTCTCGAAATCTTATAAAAAAAATATGATAAGTTTTACTTTGTAATTAAATCCGAAAAGAAATAAGATTGGTTTGTGTACGCCAGTGGTCGACCATTAGACTCCTAAGGTAGCACGTTTAATTTATTTATTTATATTAAAATAACTAAATGCACAAGTTGTACACAGACGGACTTAATACCCAGGGCATTCTCTGTCAGTCGACCCTCGGGTGATGTAGAAAAATGATGCGGTAGGTGCAAAAGAGAGCAGGAAATTTGATTGATATTCTAAACAAAAAATGACATAAATTAACAATAAATGCAGAATATACATGTATATATATCCAGAATGTGAAACAAGAGATAGATAGTATTTTTCTCAATGTTTAACACTCTTCCAGAATATTGGTTCTGATTATATAAAACCTCTAATCCCCAGTCTATCTATTATATTATATTATCTATATCTATTTTCTTCTAATGTAATCCTCTACTCTTACATCTTTCTTACGTAATATTTATTTACACCGCATTTAGCTCAATTCTCTGAAGCACATGTCCATACAACGATGGTCTATTTCCAATCAGTATTAATTTTCAATTACTGACACCACTGTTAAGCTCACTTTTATGTATTTCTTTTTTCTTCTTCCAATATATAATTATTAGAACATTCTTATTTCAGCTACATGCTAAGCAATCGGTAATTCCTGATGTTATTACCGTATGTTATGTGATTAAATTACTATAGAGTGTATATTATGGATGTACATTTTAAATATTAAACTAACGTTTAAGTCTACATTTAGTTACAAATCGTTTGTGACGCACCCTCAATACGCAGCCTTCCATGTGCGCACACAATAAATTTTCTACAGCAATCTATTGTACGAATACGACCCTGATCTCTATTATCAAATTGGAATAAAACTATGAACTTTAAATCAGCAGAAATAGGGTCAGTATTGGAACACAAGAAAAAATATTCAAAACTCAGAACAAACATTAGACTGGCTTGATGCAGCTGTCATTTTCGGAAGCTTCTAGGATGCCCAAAAAAAATATTATGCTTTAAAATTATAATGTAAGTAAAACAGCACTATTAGAGTTGTGTTCTTTCTTTGCAGGTCAGTAAAGTGATAGCTTACCATAAAAACCTGCCATCTTATTTGTGTAAGGGAAATTGCTTATTCTAGGTTCTTATAAAGTTTTACATGTGTCGTGAAATATTTACTAGCTTAGTAATATTTATTAGCTACTACAGCTTCCTTGGAGTTTGTTTATTAGGTGTAAAAATCTTGGGAAAGACATGCTTCGGTAGAAATGGGCCAGACTCCACCGGAGTGATACACGGCCTCACAGATAACCGGTGTTAATCAGTTTTTTTTATTGATTTTGAGTGTGAAGTGAGTGATAAACCCAAACTCTTCCCCTACCTCTGATTCTGGGGCAATGGACTAAAAGGATTCACTTGAAATTCTTAAGTTACAGGTATCTATCGGCGGCGGTAGTCACTTTAGACTAAAGTTCAAGTACATTCACGTAGCTGGAATTATTTTTCTGGAATAGGTAGAATTATCTGGAAATGTTAAAAAAGCTGGCAGCTTTAACTTTTTTACTGCCTCAGTATGTGGCGTATGTGACTGCTGTGAGGAGGTCTCGGGTCGGACCAAACGTTTGTATGATCTGCAAATATTCGCTTTGGAGTTTAGGTGTTTTCTATGTACTCGTATAGTATGTATACATTCTATCTATCTTGTTCTATCAGTCAATCTAGCTTTCATAGTACAAGTTCTGCTTAGTTTGAAACTAAATGGCGTTGTGTGTCAGATGTCCGAATATATTATTATTTTTAGTGATCAAGAATAATGTTATTATTTATTTATTTCTTATAAATAGAATAATTTTTAAAATTTTTACGTACAGTCATAATGTCAAAGTGTCACTTCTAGTTTTATCATGTTTATTTTTATCTGTAGGGATTACATTAATCTAACAAATACAATAAGTTACCTGAAGAAAATTCCGTTCCAGTTCATTAACCTCAATGAAATCAGGTAACAAACCGAAGATTTCCGTCAACCCAACAAAACATCGGTCTCTACCCTCAAAGCGACTGACCATTATAAAGGTATGCAGATCGGTCGGTTCGCTCAGCAAATATTGATTGTACTCCACTCACAACACAAAATCAAACCTTTTATTTAAGTCCCGCACACAAAGGGCCCTATTTGCAAGGGCAAGGGCCGAGGGAGTTAGTTCAATAACCCTTTTCTGACCAGTTCGGAGGACGATTAGACTATGTTATCTATGAAACGATTATCTTATTCATTAGAAATAAATCCTGATGCTTATTTCTAGATTTTAATGTTGAACTTAGAAGGTGAGATTAGGAAAACTGTCAAGCCTCACTATTGTACGCTATGTTTTTAAGCACAAGACAGTGAGGAAACCAACTACGATGAAAGTAGAAGACACTTTACAACTAAACGCAAGATTTGGTCAGTAAATCGAAGTCTGAATTACTTACTTTGTTTGTTTTTTTTACTTCAATTGGGATAGATTATAGCAAAATTTGCTCCCAGAAATTATATAAAAAGCGACTACGCAATCCTCGTAGTTAATCGTTCATATTACTAGTTGTTACATGGCGACTTCAAAGAAAAAAATGTATATTTAAATACCATCTAACGAAACTACAGCTACTACTCTCTATTAATCTAAAAGTAAATGAAGGTTCTCACACTTATTAGCACATACACAACTTCCCAACACCAACCGTTTGGCCGTGGACCGCCAAACATGATTATCTAGCTTGGTCGAAGGACCTTCTGTTGAAGGGACACAACGCACATTCCTCCACAGTGGTGAATAGGCCATAATCGGAAGCAGCCATGAAGAAACTGATAAAAAACAATTTATTACCACTTTCGTATAAAGTACTACAGAAATAAGCGGTAATCAAGTGTCAGCCTTATAGATTATACGTTTGTCCATATTGGTAACCCCAACGTGAATCTCTCTTTGTGTTTGAGGAACGTAACACTCGTTCTTCCACACTAATACTAAAATAAATGTAGAATAGTAAGAAGTACACTGAGGTTATTTACTATACTCATTGTATTTTTAAAGTTGTAGGCACTAATACAACAATAAAAAGTTACTTCAAGTCTTGATAACCAAATAAAATAAAATTTAAATATCTTAATTTTCTCATTTTAAATGGAAATAACGTAAATACTGGGGAAATAACATAAATCTGCAATCCGGTGTAACAAAAGGGCGGTATAAGCAGGGTAAGCAGACGGACATTTAACCGCCAGATTGCAATAAACATAGCCTGGTGGACGCGTAGCACACTGCTACGCCGGACACAGCTTGGCTACGGAGAACGTAGACATTCGTTGAGTAGACATTTTTGATCAATTATTATCAGTTGATATTGGATATTTTTGTTTATATTTAGTGTATCAGGGAAATAGTTCATATTAATTTAGTGATTCATTAGTGTTATATAATATATAAACTTTACCAGAAACGACTATCTACAAGTATTATCAATATGTTATCCGGATATTGATGTTAAAACTGTGTACCGGCCGGTGTGCAAATATCAATAGTAATAGAACTTTCTTGTTTTACTCAAGCAGTTTTGAGTTTCTTCTACGACCAGTAATGTAGGTAATATGATAAATATGAAAACTGAGGTTGTAAAAGAGTAAATTCGGCAGACAACTACATTAGGGAAAATGACATATTTTCCTTTGTCCCACGACAGAGATCTTTAAAATGACTCTCCACAGATAATGAAGTATTATTTACGTAATTAATTCATTGACGTCAAGAGTCACCGCAGTGATAATAAAAAGACGTCATTTTCATAAATGAAGTGTGATGTTTGTGAGAGATAAGTCCTATCTCATATATTTAACTACTAACATGGACGTAACTACCTACATATTACTAATACTAATGAATCTAGTGACACGAATAATGAATTTGATATAAATAAATAATAATGTCAATGACCTATTGTTTTTTCTGAACGAAAATCCCCTGGGATACCACCCACCGGTGGCTATGCTGGACTCGAACCGACTAAAAAGCGTACGCCGTCTCGGGTACCAGCAGCCGGGGAATCAGGTATACCATAGAAAGGAAATCCCTGGTACCCAGACTAACCTCGGGCCATCTACGGCGGGTAGATGACCCGCTCCTGTTTGGAAACCCCCATGTTCCCCCGCCCTGCTTCTACTAGGGTGACAGAAGGCCTCACCTGTTATGGGCCTGAGCTTATGAAGGACAGAGATCGTTCCACGATGTGAAAAACTCTCTCACTAATGGAAAGCTACATTATCAGCGAGTAACCTAAGCTACTTTTTACAGCGAAAATTTGGAGTTTCTAATAGAAACTGAAATATGAACAATGACTTTACAAAATTTTAGACATATTTAATACATTTAAGCAACTCTAATAAGATAAGTTTTAATTTTAATTTTTATTAAACTACATAAGTACCTTTATGAAATTTCAAACCAATCTTAAAATATTAACATTTACAGCAACTCTATTCCTTCTCAAGCCCAAGTCGCCCAGCCAGTCCATAGCGTCCGTCGCCCTCGTTAGAGAAGCTCAAATTAATGCAGGCCATTCTCCTGCTGACGCCACCCAGTTGTTCTTAAATCTAATTACCATGCCTGCCGCCACCGCGCCTAAACGCACGTGCTGATTAATCGCCTGTATCTATCTCCGCTTTGACAACAATTAAGTAGTACTGGCCAGGTTCTACTAAAGCTTGGCTATCCACCATTCCGTACTTGTAAAAACTTTTTTTTTTATTACAGCTGATATGTATTTGGTAGACTAGTAGGTGACATGTACACCATATGTAAATATAGTTGAAGTAGGTGGTCTGTTATGATGAAAAATAAATTTGTGTTATAAACTGAGCAGTTTTATTTCATTATGCATACGCTCTTCTCATTGGCTAATACCGGTTTCACTGGCATATTGTTACGACGAATAACAATATGCTGCAGTTTTAATTTTATCATCTATTAATGTTTTCTTAGAAACGTTCGCATAGAAACCCATCAAAAAAGTGACGTAAAACAATATATTCTATCTCTTTTATGAGCCACACACCGGCCGGTGTTTCGTCTGGCGGATCAATTAAAATATTTAACTGTATTGTGGGGATTCAGAATCGCCATTTTAAAGTCCGCAGCAAACTTTTTAAACTTCCACAAACATGTGAGGGTGGCCCGCTAAAATACAAGTTGTTGTCGAGTTCAGAATTGTTTCAACGAAAAAAGAAACTTTAATTTTCTACATTTTAAAACAAAAGTCGGACTCACTCGTAGGGGATAATGGCTTGGACGTGTTCACGATTCTATGTCTACCTACATACGTATGTACGTATGTAGATAGATACAGAGAGGATATAATTATAAAGTAGAATTGTCCTATATTTAACCACTGCCATTACTGTCAAGACAAAAACAAACATGTCATGACACAAACCCTATACCAACCCGTCTGGCCAGCGTGGTATAGTAGGCCAAAACCTTCTTTCTAAGGAGAGGCCTATGTCCAGCAGTGGACTATTAAAGGCTGTTGATGTGATGTGATGTGATTACTGTCAAGTGTATCTATAGTCTCTTAATATGAATTTATATCTTTATTTTATAAAACTTGGTTACTTTTGATGATAATTGCTCTATAGTTATAGATTAGATCCTTATTATAATGGCATGGCTTAAAAAAATAACTCACATTATACAGTCATGTCTACGAGGGACTATTTTTTTGTAACTTAAACTAAGTTACAATATTCATCGATGATTAGCAGTAAGCGAAAGGTGATGATAAATTAAATCTACAATAAATAAAAAGAAACCTTTATCATCAGTTTTTTTAAGACTGTGTTATAAGTGTGAATATTCAAGTTATACGATTGAATCTAGGAACTGTCAATAATAAAGATCTGACAGAAAGTCAAAAGATAACTTATTGATGTCTTATAGGATAAAAATCCAACTGGAACTACTATAGCTGCCAATCTTATTGGTATACAGCCTCTAGCCTGCAAATCCACTTGATCTGATAGAGTATGCCATAATTTGATGCATGTAGCTGTGAGAAACGAATGATATTATACTACCTAAATATATACGCGTGAACTTAAAAATACATATATGCAAATACTAGCTTTCACTTGCGGATGCACTCGCGTAAACAAGTTTTGCTATATTTCTAGAACGGTATCTTTTTCTAGACATAAGACTTTTACATAATTTGACGCTTTGTACCTATAGCACTAAACATTTACCATGAATATAAAAAAAAAAATTGGTTTTATTAAAATACTCAAACAAAATCAAGTCATATTAATGTTGAACTTTTGAAATCCTTAACCGAAACAAATGGAAATGTTAACTAGCTTGACATTGCCTTTTTTAAGGTGGATGTTCCAAATGATTTTACTATTTCTTAAAAATAGCACTTTTCTTTTATTCAAAACATCATCGGTTGAGTAGTTTAGGCGTGCGAGTGTACCAAGCAAATAGACTCAAAAAGACATATAAATGGGACCACTTTCATCACATTAATTCCGACCGATTTACAAAACACCATAGCTAAATATAAAATTTTCCTTTTAATTTCAAAGGCCACAATATGAAGGACCAGACAGGATGGTATCCAAGGCTCCACATAGTTCCGCCGTCGCCTTTGCAGCATGCCAGTCGAGTTCCTTGCTTGGAATGTAGGTGCACACAAAAAGTGCTCTGGCTTCAAACAGAAGGGTCAGACACTGGCCACTCGTTAGCTCCGGCAGAGGTTCTCAAAGTTTTTTAATTAGTTATTATTATTTGTTTTTTCCTTTAGTTCCCGTTTTTATGTATAATATTAATATTAGGACTGTATCCTAAATGAAGTTGTTCATATTATCTTTTATTTTATTAACTTTGTAAAACAAATGACTCAATCTATTATTACATATGAGACTGCTGCCAAGTTGTACCACTATGCTATTTTTTATTTTACTTGGAATACCAACACCATAAATAATGTAAGGTAAACATTAAAATAATGTAACAACGAAGCTACTCACAGGTAGTCGTAAAAAGATTCCAACAGTTAAAATAAGTTAAAATAACAAAAAAAAAACTTAAAAAAAAATTACAGAACCTAATAGGATCTTTGACATGTGATGTCTGGATATGAAGAACTCAAATTCGCTACTCAATATTATGAAAGTTTTATTTTCTAACCAAGTTTTGTTTGTTAATGAGTGAATGACAGAGTGAATTTGATGAAATAAAACACAAAAAACAATGTCACAAAAACTTTGAGAACCCCATCAATTTGCATTCTATATAAATCTACGTACAACCCGCTGACGCTTAGTTGCCTAATGAAAATGAGCCCTTTCTTCCGTGGAGCCGGTACGGTCAAGCGGTCCCTCCGACATGCCTAAGGACCCCTAATGTTGCCCGTGTGTTTTAAATGGAAATCGTACTTGCAATTTATATGAAAGGGTCTGGATTATTCCCTTTTGTTTATTCGTGTTCTACAGCTAATTTTGGGGTCAGGAGTGTACTGATTCTTTCTTTACTTCAAGTTCTTATATAAATTATATCAAAATCAAAGCTTGCATTCTATGCAAGAGGTAAAACTGTGAAGGAACGAGTGTCATGTCCCTCACACATAAATGGAAGATCCTCTGATCAGGCAAGGTGATCATGCTTGGAGGGCCGCGGCCCAACAGTTGATGTCCAGAAGTTATACATATTAGGTCGTATGAAGTTTTCAAAAACGGAATTTTCAGATTTAATTATCTGTGGATTTTAAATAAATTTTGTTAAAAAGCCATGTTATTTTAATTTAAAATCTAGTCATAAATAACAAATACCGCTGCTCAAATAACACGAAAATTGATGACGTGTACGGGCTGCCTGCATAAACATGGTCTTTATCGGTTCAATCGTTTTAGATCTGGAAATTTTCAGTTGAAGAACGAGCGAAGAGCCTCGAAATGTATTGAAAGCGGATCCATCTCAATCTACGGCTGAGCTTGCTGCGGGCTTTAGGGTTAGTGTCAAAACAATATTGAAGTACTTGCGTCAAATTGGAAAAATAAAAAAGCTAGACATTTGAACTAAGCAACTGTCAGGGAGGCTTACGCTTCGAAGCATGCATATCACTTCTGAATCGGCATACAAACGAGGGGATTCTAAATTGAATTGTTACCTGCGATGACAAGTGGATCCTGTACGACAACCGTAAACGTTCGTCACAGTGCGTGAACCCTGGTAGAGCACCTAATCAGTGCGCAAATAAAAATATTACCCATAGGAAGATGATGATGACTATCTGGTGGACCAATGCTGGACTTGTACAGACATCAATTATCAAAAATTGTGCTTCTTACCGAATGCCTCAATAGTGACGGCAGTCTATTGCCAAGAATTGCAAACAATGATGGAGAAGCTGGCAATTTAACGCTTAATCGCTCTTCCCCTTGGTTCTTCACAACAACGCGCGAGTTTACACTTTACGACAGACTATTGCAAATCTACAAGAGTTACAGCTGGAAGGTCTCTGTCAGCCACCGTACTCACCCGACACAATTTTCAAAATTTAATTATTTTTTAAGTGGGAAAAAATTAGAGACAGGTAGAGGCAGTACAAAACGCTTTCGTTGACTTTATCGCCCTTCGTCCAGTGGACTTCTACAGTAAAGGGATAGCTTCACTGTATGTTTACAAAACCATTAGTAATAAATTATGCCAGTAGGGTTTCCTTAATACATTCCCTATTTCAAAAATATGTCAGTTATGAATATTCCCTTGTTTTTTTTTAAGTTGCAATGTAAGTAAGTTGCATTGCGGCCAATACAGTAAATCAATGTCTTGAATATGATATGAGAGATAATAAACTTTTATTACAAAATGTACCTAGATACACTTGCCTAAATTAAAAACAATTTTTAAGCAATTAATTTGAACGTATTAAGGTTTTAAAAATATTTAAATTCTGTGCGGGTTTTCTTAATTTTACTTTTTTTGAGAAGTTTATTATTGTTATTAGATTAATGCTCATCGTAAAGGTGTTAATTGAAATTAGGTAAATTATTATTGTTACAGATCAAATAAAAAGCGACTTGACGAGCACCTCTAAGTGCTATAGATCAGGTTCTCCCTTAAAAATCTACTTTAATAGACCGAGATATATAAAATGCATTATGTTTATTTTTTAAATACATAATTACGATAATTGTATTAAGCTGACAGGGCTGAATAGAATAGGCTTACAATTAGTAGTAGAATAGAAAATGAACAATATCGAAAAAACTTAAACTTAATTTTTTGCATGCTGGTGCTAAGCTGTAATTGCTGCCTAATAAAGCATATCTATCACAATACCGATATAAATCTGTTATAATTTAAACAGCATATAAAACCTTTTTGATCATCCCCATCCCAATTGGAAACTAATTAGGCCGCGTTTGGCAACTCTACGTAATTAGAAATTCCAATTAGCTATTTGCCGGGCGTTTTCTCAACAAATTCTCTGAGGTCCAAACAATTATTGCTATCGCTAGCCACCACCCAAACGCTCTTTGATATGAGAATAATTTCGTAGCGGGAGGGCCAGCCAGCCCTTGTTAAGACGGAATAGATTTCTTTTTGATGTAACCACATCCTATTGAAGTAAACGTGAATG